ACGATCCTCATCAATGGGTCTAGAGAACCCAAAAACCTAAGCAACCCAAATTCAATTTAAGTTGAAATTTCTTTACCCAAACCCAATCCGAGAACCAAAAATCTCTACTCAAATGCTAAAATTCCAGCCTTATGATGGTCTAGAGTTTATCATTGAGTGAATCTTAGATGCCATGTTCATGACCTCAGCCTGACTGCATTTAGGCATATCACCATTTTAAGGCTGACATCAAATTCAGGAACACACAAAATAGCCGCTTTCAATGTATGGAAAATTTTCAATCTCAACTAGAAAAATAATATAATGACAATAATTTTCAATTTTAACTTTCTGTAGGTTACAACTTGTCAAAGCACTTTTACCCAGCAGAATTGAACTCAACTCCCTATATCATCTCAATAGCAATTGAATAGCATACGTGACAAATCTACATAAAAAAGGCTAAGACCAAAAAAGTAATTTCATTTTCTTTCCAATTTTTTTGCACTCTTTTTCTTAAAAAGGTTGAATGTCAATAAAAAATAAGAATCCAAAACCATCTATATTTTAGTTACCACAATGATTCATAAACATTGATTGACAAGATGATCCATCCACAACACAAATGTGCAAGCACATGAATGCAAAAAGGTCAAATATTTACAAATGTTCACGAATGAGCAAAAAATGGATGATAAGATAATTTTCTCGGAGATAAAGTCATTTAAGATTCACTAATGGTGTCGGATACCTTGGGGAGGAGTCAATATCGAAACACCAATGTATCAACAATGTTTTTGACAGGAAGTAAACCCCTGAAAATAAGGCAACGATAACAAAGTATAAGAACATAAATCCAAGAATAGATGCATAGCGCAAAACAAAAAATGACTAAAAGTTCAATAATCTGAGACATGGATCAGGTTTATATCGTGCCTCAAGTGACGTCCATCCAGCCTCAAGTGACAAGATTCAAACGAACATACATCCTCATTTAGAGATTTTTATACAGATCTAGTATGCTAGAAAATAATAAAAAAGTCAACCTTAAGTGCTTCCGAGTTGAAAAGGAAAGGCAGTGAAGCTAAAACAAAGATGACAAGTAAATCCCCAGAAAGCTTTTTTAAAGGCCATCTTGATTAGTCCAAAAGGCTTGTTTGGGGGCTCTGATGCGTGCTAGCTGCCAAAAGTCTCTCAATTAGGCCCCTCTAAGCAATTTGATCTGAAATGAATTCCTTATTTTGAACTTGAACTACACAATTCACCAATAATTACCCTTCATCGTTCAAGAACCTAGACAAAATCACATGGATGGACAATACTTTGACCAAGGTTGAAAACCACCCTTCTTATTTGACCAATGTTATAATTCTTCTGGATACTCTAGAAAGAATTATCATGAAAATCTTATAATTATGGACTTTCTATGTTGCATATTAAAATGAAAGCATCACAACATGAATTTAATTCGCAACATATAGAATTTGGAAATGACCCAGTGATAAAAGCCCTGACATGAACTTGCAGTATGACTATTCTAACAAATTACTAATTTCAAGAAAAGGTAAGAAGGAGCTTGAATAAACAAATGGGGAGTCAATATTAAGAACCACAAAAAAGGTCATCTCAAATAAAAAGCTATTTTAATCTATTATAGATAATGAGGTTTTTATTTTTCTGAATTATGACGGCACCATTTGATCTTCATATGGGTAGATTGCTTTATTCCTCAACAGCTCTCCTCCTTCCGAGGTCCAATCAGCTGTCATGTCCGGAATATTTTGTAAAGAAACCTCATCACATAATAGGCCCACTTGAAATTTTTAACATCACAGGGAACTGATTCCCAAGAAGGAACTAAGCATTAATAATAGTATTTAACACAAACTAAACAACAAAGGTGGTTGCGTTGCTATAAAAGCTTGCAAAATACAAATATTTGCAAAATATAAAAAAAATGTCCCAATAATTAAGACGTGCATTACATAAATTAAAGAGGCCACACACCCAAAATGCAAGGAGTGCACATAAACGCTTCAAAGGTCCTCCACCAGCTCCCATTATCTCAAAGAATCGTCTAAGCGAGAAGAAAGAGTGTCATTGGTGCTTATTCATGAGTATCATCACGAATATATATGATTACATATTTTTTATAGTAACATCATTGAAATCAACATATATCTGCGAATTAATCTCAAATGCATTTGTGAAACCTGGGGATATATGGTTCCCAGATGAACCTCCCAATCCTTGAAAGTTGGATATTGTTAGGAATAAGAGCAAGTTTTCAGCTATAAAATCCTTAGAAATTTGTAAGGATTATCTCTAGAATAAAGTAAATGAACAATAAGAGAATTCAAGCCCTAAGACAGACTCAAAGAAAAAAAAAAGAAACTCTTAAAGGATAGATGAGAAGGACATTCCAGCACAATCAATATTTTTTCTTTTCCGGTAGACAAAATACATTGGGACATCAAGAGCATAATCTCAAACCTGTGCACCTAAAATATGAGAGCATCGATAATATATCAGTCATATGGGAAAAAATATGTTAAAAATCAAAACGGTTTAAAAACTAACATCCATTTAGTCTAATTAATGGACATCTGCCTGAGAAGAAAATGTTCATTACAACGGTTGAGATAGGGCACCCCAGGCTAAGAAAATGTTCCTTATGTCAGCTTCAGAACAAAAGTCCAAATTAACCTAAGGGAAAAAGATTGAATCCATATTTAATCACTTTTCAGTCAGGAGGCCATTTAAAACAATTGTTCAAACATGTTATACAAATACAAAGATGCAGCAGAAGAGTTTAGCAATAAAGCCTTTTCGTCTATTCTGTACTCACAGCCTTCAGTAGTTTCTTATGAGGAGGACAGATGCCCAAAGAATTAATCACATTTCTCTTACCTAAACAGTACATGTCCTGAACGCCACATCAACTCCAAGAGAGCCAATTTTGTAAACAGGCACAATAAAGTGTGGTTTATCTCAGACTAGCAATGTACGATTTGCATTGCACGTGAATATATTTAAATAATATTTTTTTATAAAAAATTTAACTAATATTTATAATTTATTTGAATAATAAATTATATGTCAAATAATTTAATTATATATTAATTATTGTTAGACCTAATTATTAATCTATTATATCCCTATTTGAGTACCTAATTTGCCATTTTTTTAGGTATCTTTCTGGCTTCTTTAAACATTTTCTTTTTTTGTTTATTGTGGAGTGTCATTACAAGATTGTTGTGCTTTAGTATTTATAAACTATTTTTTATATTATAATATTATGATATTATTGCATACAAAAAAAAAAAAATCAAATGCAATATTTATTTGAAAGTAAAATTCAAGCTGTCAACATGTTTATAATAATAGAATATAGATTTGACTTTAATTTTTTTATATAAATAGATATAAATATAAAAATTGTATATATGTGTATTACTAATAAATGAGTCCATAAACATTTAGAAGTCAATTGCTACTAATAAAAGAGTTATTGTAAGATTATTATTCTTGAGTATTTACACATCTAAATATATTATTCTATTTTTTGCTAAAGAAATTGATTAAATTGTAAAGTATTGTTTGTATTATAATATTATGATATTGTTACATACAAAAAAAATCAAATATGATAGTAAAACTCTGCCAACAACATGTATATAATAATATAATATAGATTGAACTTTATTTATTTATATAAATAGATATAGATATAGATATAGAAGTTATATGTAATTGTAATACTAATAAATGGTTGTACAAGAATTTATAAATCAAATACTACTAATAAAAGAATTCAAATTAGTTTAGAATTCAAAATAAAAATCAGATGAAAGTAATATGTGGGGTAGAATTGACTTTATAATAATAATTAGGGATAAATTAGGAAATAAAAAGTTTTTCACAGATGCTGACATTTATAAGAAGTATAGATGTATATTCACAAACTTAGCACAAATAATTCTTTACATTGCAAGTGACAGTTTTACCTTTCGTCAGTTTAGCACAAATAATTCTTTACATTGCAAGTGACAGTTTTACCTTTCGTCAGTCAAGTCTAAAATTACAAAGCTGAAATTTAAGATATCAACTGAACCTTGATTGAAGAATACAATCGTCAATTTTAAAAGAACATGGATCAAGTTGATTACCTTGTTTTAGCTATTGCCTTTTGTTCATAACAAACAATCAATGCTATCACTTTAATGCCTTTACGGAACACTTTGAAAACTGTATCGAGTTGGTCATCAAAAAATAACTGCTCTGTGCTATTTGATTAGTATCCACAGGTATTCTAAAGTATTTGAGATGTCTAAATATTGAACATCATCATATTTGCTATGCCTTTCCTGTTGAATCAAAAATAGAAAGCAAGCCACTAAACTCTGCCACTGTAGTTGTATAACCTATTTGTAAGGGCAGCCCAATCCAACCTAAACACAAGCCATGCTATTGTAGTTATCTTCTTCAGTTGTGAAGACATTATAAAAATACCAAAAACTCTTAAATATCAACCAATCAAACATGGGTTCATAAAGGACAATGAAAGAACAAAAAGTAAAATAGAGCAGGGAGACAAAACCAATGTATGAAAGCCCAGATAGATAGTTGGGAAAAGATTCATAGTAAAAATTTCATACGTGCTAAAGCAATACAACGGTGGTTGCACAATTCTTCTCGGCAAGACAGTGTGTGCGTCTAAAAGAGATAAGGGAAGGAGAACTGTGTGAATGGACAACAATGTTGAATATGAAAGGTGGGAAATTTCCAAAATTGAAACTCTTGCCATTATAGTCGGTTATAGTTGCATTCATTGCAATCTTGCAAATTAATTATTGTTATCTGTATAGCCGCAAAAAGGGCATTAAGGAAAAAAAAGCAGAGAAGTTGGGTAGTTAAGCAAAGATGAAAATCATGAAATGATGGGTAACTCTTCACCTTTGTTTTAAAGAGTCTTGAATACACAAGAGAGATGAATAAGTAGGAGATTGAGAGGGGTGAAGATGAAGAGAGGGACCGTGTGGCTGGTTGGTCTTCACCGACTCCTGAATACGCAGGGAAAGGGTGAGGGAGGGAGGCAGGGAAGGAGGGGGAGAATNCGACTCCTGAATACGCAGGGAAAGGGTGAGGGAGGGAGGCAGGGAAGGAGGGGGAGAGTGAGAGAGAGAGAGAGAAAGAGAGAGAATAAATAATTGTAACGGTAGAATTTTAGGAGGCGGTGTGATGATATATGTTTTAACTGAGAAAAGGTTTACACGAACTTTAATGCTGATGGAAAAAAATGACATAGTTGTGATTTTGGAGGGTACAAGTGGAAAACAAAATTTCAAATATTCTGATATTTTAAAGTATTATAGATATAAATTATTTCATTAAACTCTCTAGATTTGTGCCACTCTTCCTTTCCATTTGCCAATTTTTATGGAAAATCTGTTTCATTTCCACTTACTTCATTCTTTTTTCTAAATGCATATGTAGGAGAAGTTTTCTGCCTTGGATTTTGTTGATGAGAAGGTTGGGATAGTTGAGCCTGCAAAAGTGCCTCCGATAGAGTCTACTCCATTCAAGCTTGTGGCAGCAGTCAAAGATTTGAAGGAGTTAGCTGCTAAATTACACAGTGCCGATGAATTTTCAGTAAATTTGGACTTTTGGGGTTATATATTTTTAATTCATAAATTAATGTGGCCTACTGCCAAATTTTACCTGTTTGATTTTATATTAATTGTTTTTCTGTGCACAGAAGGATAGTCAGCATGTTGGAAATGTAAAATTATACAGTTCTCTAATTCAACCATCTTGAATGGGGTGGTTGACTTTTTAAAGTTAGGTTTTAAAGGGCTGTATTTAAAGGTCGATGTCATTAAGAATAAATTGTGGAAAAGTTGCATTTCTGTTTCTGCTATATACACTTAAAAAAGAAAAAGTGTAGAAAAGAAGAATGAGTACTATAAAAAAAAAACAGAATGAGAAATAGAGAGTAGAAAGAAGAAGAATCTAGGAGTTTCACCTATAATTTTCTTTGAGTCACTCCTTAAGGTAAGATGTCATAAGTCATCACACAAAGCTTCAAAAACTTCGAACTCTACACTACTCAATTGAGTTCTTCACCATTGAATTGTGGGTAATACATATATATAGGCTACTGGTTCTCCTAATTTGTCGAGTTCTATGACTCTATGGTGATGTAGGACAGTGGTGAACCCAAAAAACCAACACTATTTATGGGCAGTGAACCGTAACCATGAACAATATTTTAGGGTATAATCGTGTCAACTTGTGTGCTATGGTTAGATAAATTGAATTGCATCACACAATCCTAAAAGTATATAATTGGTGAAAATTCTAAAATATATCTATATTAAATTATAGCATTACATCTCAATATATAGAGCTCCAAATGTCTCCTAATCATAAAAGATCATGATTCCAAAGATTTTAGGACTTGAAACACTCTAAACTCGTCATAGTGGATCCGACAAAGTTTTATGCTGGCTGTCAGCTGCTTAACGCAACCCTTCTCCTTTATCCTGACTTGGGACAGTCAGTGTTGAATACAACATTGACGGAGTTAACATTAGGTCTTAAAATCTTTGAATATAATCCATGACAGATAGGTTACCTTGTTGTAGATTAATAAGTTATTTGCACAACTTTCTACGATAGTTTGAGGGCATATACTTATGTTGAAGTTTAGCTTTCATCTCTTGCCATGAGTTGATTGACGACAATCCCAATATTTTTAAATCTTCTGAAATTTCTGAAATCTCAATATATAACTGCTGAAATTTCTGAAATCTCTTTATCGTTTATTAAATATATCCCTAAATATATAGAATTCTAAGTACTCTTAATCCTAAAAGATTAGGACTCTAAAAGCTCTATATTACTAAAAATTAGAAAACTAAAACAAACTAGAATTCTAAATTCTAGCATATCTAATNATTAGGACTCTAAAAGCTCTATATTACTAAAAATTAGAAAACTAAAACAAACTAGAACTCTAAATTCTGGCATATCTAACACAGTAATATTAGAGTTTGACTCAAAAAATGACCCATTTCAAATTTTTTGGAAATTATGAAAATACCCTTGAGTCTAAAAACTATTAAAAAGACATAAAATATTAATACTAGCAAATTGACTCAAACTAACTTAAAATCAAACTCAAAATACAATAATGCAAGGTTCTATGTGGATCTTTGTTTTGATGGAAAGCCAATTCCATTGTATTTCACATATTTGAATTTGCGTTTCCTTGACCATCTTATGGATTGCATCACTTCCCTTCCAATATTCTGTGTCTCCTTCCAATATTCTGTGGCATATTGCTGCAGTTGGAGTTGCTGAGGACTGAGAATGTAACGTGGAATGAGGTTACCACTTGCCTTCGGATATCATTGCCGTATTTGTATGTAATGGCAATGGGGTATTTGATTAGCTTCTAACTGATGTTCTTTTATTTATCTTTCTTTATTCCTGCTATTATGTTGCCCCTTGGTTTTGTTCATGTTTGTTTGAAATGACATTTGGATATTTGAATACTTTTATTGGAATTAATATAACTTATTTTGCGCTTTGGCATATGGTTTAGGTTGATCTAGAACATAATCAGTATAGATCTTTTCAAGGATTAACTTGCTTGATGCAAATATCTACTAGAACTGAGGATTTTGTCGTGGATACGCTAAAGCTTCGCATTCACATTGGTCCATACCTTAGGGAAGTATTCAAGGACCCCACCAAGAAAAAGGTAGATTTGTTCATGTTAAGCAGCTTGACATTTTTGCAGATCTACGTAAGTCTGACAATATTTCACTTGATTAGGTCATGCATGGCGCAGATCGTGATATTGTGTGGCTTCAACGCGACTTTGGAATATATATATGCAATTTGTTCGACACTGGACAGGTTTTACTTCATTTCTTTTAAGTATTGTCTTTTGGTAGAATTAAGTGATGAAGAGTCAAATTTCTTGAACTGTGGGCTTTTGAATCTATTTTTATTTTCAGCTTTTTCCCCATGTTTAATGTTCTGAGAATAAAGGCTATGTGGAGCAATTACGTATATGTGTTACTCTCTTTGGGTTACACTTAGAAAGAGTAACTTTAATCATCTATGGATTTTGGTTGTGTAGAAATTTTTACAGAGAAATTGAATCATTGTATGTTGTGGTAGTCTATCATGGTTGGGTCTGCATGTCGTTTTATTTTTTTGTCTGAAGGTGTCCTATTGTGCAGACTACCCTCCTTTTCTTTTCAATGAATCTTGCTTTGTGGTTTTAGAAACATTGAAAGTATATTGACTCTCACATAGTGTTTCTTGTGTGTTCATTTGCTAGAGTATTTTTCCTTCTAATTTTAGCAATATGTCTCTGAAATGTAAAATCAGTAAATCTCCCTTTGGAATCGCTACTTTTCTGAACGTTGGCCCTCAAAATATGGAGTGAATGTAGTGTATATGTTGGGGAACTGTTTTCTATCAAGTAGTAACTATTTTTTAAGGACACAGGAAAGAAAAAACTTTTAAGTATTTGGTTTATTTTGGCTACGTTGTGGATTTTTTGGCACTGATATTGAACTTTTTTTAGTATGCCAGTCCGTCTTGGCTAGTTGGTAGTGTATGTAAGTAACGTGTTACTAGAAATGAAATAATATTGGATCTTATGTTGTCAAATGTGAATTCCATTTACTTGCCTATGCATCAATTAGACTGTTTGGCTTTGAGCATCTGTTTGCCATGCATAAATTGGTCAGAGTTGGACCGAATATTTAGTAGTGCAGGTTAGCGTAGGAGTGTTTGGAACAGAGGCACTAATATCAGTATTATGGTTGGCGAAGTTTTTGGAAAGCTAGTAACTTTAGGGTTCAAAAAAATGGTGGGAGGGATTAGAGTGTGCTTTTGAAAGGAGGCTGGATTTGGATTGGCTTTCAAAGCAACTGTCAATGGGATTGTGAGGAATTATCGGCCAAAGAATCTGGAGTGAATAATTATAGGTTTCAATGTCTGAAAGTTAAGGCCAGAATGGAATACAACCATTATAAAATCACAGCCATATTAAAAGCAGTTTTTTTACTTGTTTTAGAGCCATAGGGGAATATGATAATGGTTTGATTGTGGAGGATGAGAATTGCATTGAAAGCGAAAATATATGTCTTTTTGCTAAGCTCAATCTTTCTCAAAATTATGATCTGCCAAGGACCAAGACTGTATCGCCTCATCAACTGACAGAAAAACGAGTGTACGGTCTACAAACTGTAGATGTGAAACCCCTATATGGTCCCTACTATAAGATATACTCTCTTGTCTTATATACCGAGGACAATTGTTGTCAAATTGTGATTCGTGTCATGAATCAAAATTCTAAATTTGAGAATCATGAATTGTAAGATTCGACATAAAATTTGAACAAAAATAAAAAATAATACTACTTATTTAAAATTGACAAAATATTGAATATTGAATATTATTGCATTCTAAAAATAATCAATTGACAAATCACGTCGTCTAAATGGAAAGACACTAGCCTTTTGTTTTATTTTCGTTTTTTGCTTAACCATTTTCAAATTCAACAATTTGAAAAAAAAATTCATTAAAGAACCATGGCTATTTAAGAACAAAAATAGTTTTCCAGTATAAATTAGGTTGCAAACATGAATGAAAAAAAGAACAAATAAGAAAATTGATTGGGAGAAAACATACATACTAACATTTTGAAACAAAAACTTAAAACCTAACAAACTACCAATGAAAGAATTGAGAGCAAAAATCAGCCGATGATGTGAGAGCTTTAGCCTAACTATTAGTTTTAGATAACACAAGGTGAGTTTCAGACGACATCAGAGAGATAACGAGCAAAGAGGTTGAATTTTTATTAGGGCGTGAGTTCCTCAGCAAACAAAATGACGCCGTTTTACTGTTTAACAGATAAAATGACTTCATTTTGTAAAAAAATTGGGTTTTAAACAAAAAATGATTGAATCGTGTAATATGAATCGAATCGTACGATTCAGATACAATTCAACTCAAATGATTTTCATATAAGATACAAATCATTTTGTACTTTTATCGAACCGACTCGTACGAATTGAATTGTGAATCGCGAATCGTATGATTTTGATAACTATACTGAGGACTAAGCCCATTTGCAACCAACATGAATGAAATTGTGACAATATATCTCCCAGCCTAAGACTACTAGCATTAAATCTCCCATGCGGTTTGCCATTAAGAACCACTGAAAAATTCATTGGCACTAAACACCCTTTAATCGATCTCCTCTATCTTCTTCCAAACCCCAGAACTTTTAAAACAAAATCTAAAAAACCCCAATTTACATGATCCAATGCTTTTTTTAGAATGAATCTTAAAAACAATTCCTTTTCCATTGGCCTATACTCCCGACTTGTGCAACTAACACAATGTCAGTGATTTGCCTCCCTCCAACAAAAGCACCATGGTTTTTTTTGAGATCAAGCAAATGCATGTTGCATTGGTATTTACATTCATCACATTCACCTCACTATCAATAAAGAATTCCATGAATCCCTTCCTAAAACTACACCTAATAATCTCTGAACAATCTTGAAATGCCGCCATTGAGAATCCATCCAGCCCACTAATAGGACTCCAATGCAAACTCATAATCCTCGGCCTTATCATCCAAAATTGTTCCATAAAATTTTTGGATCAAATTAGAGAGATGGTTGGAATTAAGATATTTAATTTTTAAAAAAATAACGATAAAAAACTGAGAATTTGAAATTAGGGGGTAAACTTGAATTTCAAACTGAGGGAGCCTTTCAAGCATCAAGGAGGACACTACATGCTACGTCTTCTCTGAAAATTTTCTAGCCCATCAATCCTTGCAATACCTATCCTCAAAACAACCCTATTCTGAACTGGATACTTCAGATTCCTCCAAACAAACTTCGAACCGGTTTGGATCTATATTGGATTTGAGTTTGCAGAATTGTACCAATGTCAAGTTCGAGTGGTTTGGACCTATTCAACTTACATGTAGAATTTCAATTAGAATTCAGAATGATAACAGGTCAATCAAGTGGAATACAAATCGGAAATAATCAAGATCATATTGTGAATAACCCCACTAACCCAATCTTCAATTTGGGACTGATAATATGATCAGCAAGGTGCCATGAACATCATACTCTAATTCCATTACAATCAAATCATGAATCACCTTTTAATTCTTCATTCAAAACTGAAGGATTTCCCACCAATTTTCCTTCCTTCCTTTTTTTTTTATTATCTCAACATTTTCTTTCTTGTTTTGCAGTCCACCGCACCTCTTTTTTCTCATACAATAGTTAACTTCACTCTATGTATATGCACATATACAGTTGGATTCTTCCAAATGTAATATAGTATATAACCCACAACACTAATCTATGTAACAATGTGACAGCACACATGCCACAAAATCCACCCACGTACACACGTGTCCCATATATATCCCCACAAAGAACACTTGTCCAACTTCCTTCATACTTTATTTTGTTTTTTATTATTTTCTCTGCTTATGTAATTCATTCTCATTTGTTACTGTACAAATAGATGTTACATATATATATATTANCTTATGTAATTCATTCTCATTTGTTACTGTACAAATAGATGTTACATATATATATATATATTTTATGATAATCCAAGTAATTGACTAACTAAACCACATATTTGAATTTAACAGCATATAAAAGATTGACACAATCCTATTTTTCGTTGCCCAATTTTTTGATAATTATTATTTTAGTCCTCAATTAAACTGATAGTCTTTACATAAATTATAAATTGACCTCATATATTTAATTCTTTGGTCTTTTATTGGCATAGGATGTCACATTGTGAGTGATTCAAAAGAGATTGGGTCAGGTGGGTTTAAAATTTAAATGCCCAATCAATGAGTCCCAAGTTTTAAAGCCTAAGTTAAGGACATGTAATGAATTGGTTAAGGAAAATTTAGACTTGAATGGGGAAATTATTGGGTGGGATGGAAACAATTAAGGTTGATTAGAGGGGTCTTGGCTATCAATTTGTATTTGATTATGTTAAATTACATTGGCCGTTGGATGTTAGACCAGACCCAAATCCGCAAATAGATGCAAGAACGTGTGTGCACCAAATTAGGCCCATGAAACAAGTTGATAAAGGAGGTTGTCTTTGAGAGAGAAACAACCGAGCCGTTTGTGTCGAAGCCCAAAGATTTAAGCCTGAAGATGTTAACCCAACAATTAACATACAATTTCAAGTCGAGTGGATATAAAGGCTTTAATAAGGATAGGAGAAGAGGGAAGCTATTATTGATGTGTTTCTTCATTTAGTTCCAAGGAAATTGGTGAGACGGGTTGTGGCATAAGTTTCATTTATGCGGGTTTGAAGGAATATATTCAGTGTTTTGATGATCTAGAAGTGTCCAATAGTGAATCAGGAAGCAAGGAACTAATTTTCGCTTTAAAACAGCTGAAATGTTCGAAAAATTTTCGTTTCCATAAAATCTGAGACAAATAATTGATTGAATAGTGAATTCCTATGTTTCAAGACTTTTTAGGGTAAGTTTTGATCAATGTTTTGGAATATTTCACAAACAAAATTTTAAATTGTTTCTATATTTTAATTCCATTTCCGAAATGGCTTTGTTTTTNTTTGATCAATGTTTTGGAATATTTCACAAACAAAATTTTAAATTGTTTCTATATTTTCATTCCATTTTCGAAATATTTTTAAAAGACTTCCGAAATGGCTTTGTTTTCAAGTTGACCAATGCTTTGCAATGAAACGAATTTTCAATCCTTGGGAGGAAGAAAGGAAGATATGATTTGAAACTTTGCCATGTGGAAGGTGGAATATTTGATTTTGGAAAAAAATGTGGCATGGAAATTCAAGCAGCAAAATGGGTCCTAACTTGGAGGAGGTTGATTTTAGTGTAATTCTGACAAAGAAGACACAAAAGGCTGCGATAGATAGAAAAGAACCATCCGAAGAAGTTCTGACAAGGGTGGGGGAGTTCGCAAATGAACGACGATGCAGTAGAACAACATAGAAACGAGTTGGAAACAATTGGAACCTAAGGATGTCGCATCTCATTGTGGGATGGGAGGATTCTTACCAAAACCTGAGTTGGACTGTGGTGGACATCTTCGTCAGGTAATTTATTTTGTGCAGTTGCCTAAAGAAAATTTTTTACTTCTAGAATGAGTCTCTTTGAGTTATCCATTCCTAGAAATGAGGATAACAGTGAGCTGGAAAGGGGAGTGGAATTAGTAGCGACAACTGCTTTAGCTTTTTGTGATCCATCTTCATGTCTTGCTTCTGATCCTTGTTCAATGAATGCCTTGGAGGAATGAGGATGCCCCAAGTTTGCCAGCACTTGTAAAAATGTCTTGTCTTGTGTTAGCAACATTGCCACTATGAAATGTTTTTATTGAGTCTAACCGGGTTTTACCAATTGATGTTAAGAATGGACAGATTGTTGTACAGGAAGCTAGTTAAAGGATGGCTCAGTCTATTTTGGGAAGGATTGCTGTGATCAATGGGGTGGGTAGATTGGGTTCAGATTCTTATGGATTCGATGCTGAAAATTGGCGGATGTTGAGAGACTTTTTCGGAATTAGGTTTGACCTTGATGCATGACTAAGGGAGACGGAGAGGCACAGGGCGGGGATGTGGTAGACGAATCAACAATAGCGTAAGGAGGTGCGGGTGGGTTGGAAACTTGAGGATTAAATTCCTATGTGAATTATTATGCATATAAGTCTACGAAGGTTAATGGGGGAGATTCAGTTAACTTATGTAGATAGTCAGTTGGAATGCGAGAAGATTGGGTAGTAGTAGGAAAAGAAAGGCAATTAAAGTGATTGGTGTTCCCATTATTTTAGAAGTTTGTGAGGATCTGGGCATGAAATTGAGTTTTTTTGTTTTTGTGTGAAAGGTCAATGAGTGTGTTAGTCATTTGGGATGAAAAAG